GCTTATGTGAAACAGCTGGGTCTTCATGAAACCAGTTCTGACCAGCACACTCAAATCCAGAAACCAGTGGTAAATACAAGAGGAAGTTGGATAGCCATTTCAGTGTGACTGGAGGCTCCTGAGAGGCTAGTAAAAGATCCACAAAACATGGGCAGAGAACATAGCTCATTTGGTAAAATATTTGCATTAAAAGCATGAGGATCCAAATGTGGATTTCTGGTATCCACATTAAAAGAAAATTACAGGTATTGCTGCGCACACATGTAACCACATGTGTTATGGGGTACAGAAGCAGTTGGATCCCTGAAAATGATCAGCTGGTTAGCCTAACCTATTGTGAGCACTGCGTCTTGTGATACTCCTTGTCTCAAAAGGTAGCGTGAAAGGTAGTCCTTTAACTTCTATGTGTACATGTACTCATAAACACATGTGTGCATACACACACACACACACACACACACACACACACAGGAGGGAAACCCACAAAGGAGTAGGACACACAGCCTGCTGGAACTCTATGTCTGGTGTGTGAAAGGGAACGCTAGAAGTTGAAGTCGACGCAAGCCTAGGTGCACACTTCTCTTGATCAGGAAACCCCTGGGGTTATGATCACTTCTAATTTTCTTCAGAACACACAAAGAAGGATTCAGCCTGCTGCCGCACCTACTCTTGTGTGTCTTTCCATTTCTTCTTTGCGATTCCACCCTTCTCTCGTCAGAACGATTGTGCACACACAATTCCACATGCGTTCTCTATCACGCCTCCAGTTCCCAGTTGATCTGAGAGATGAGAGCTCCCTTCCAATCATTGTTTGAGCGATCCAAATAGTGCTGTCTCGTTCTGACAGTGAGGGGCTAAGTTTTCTGCCTGTTTTTGGGATACCCTCTGTGAGCGATCCAAATAGTGCTGTCTCGTTCTGATAGTGAGGGGCTAAGTTTTCTGCCTGTTTCTGGGATACCCTCTGCACAGGGTGACTGCGCTGAGTGTGACACATTGTTCCTTTCTGAGCCCACCTTGTTCTCCTCAACCCCCTTCTCTACTTTGGGCTTAACCTGTGCAGCCAGCAGGATGCCAGCTGCTGGCATCTCTCTTCTCTGCATGCTCCACTCTGACATTTATGTCCTTTCTTGTGCCGTCCTCAGGAGGGAATGGCATCCCCCCATACCTGCCCTGTGAACTTCATCTTCAAACTCCTTTTCAGGTAAGATCTCTCTAAATCCTTTGATAACATCTTCCCTATAATGCATCACATTCCTTTCCCCCCTTTCAACCACTGCAGTGTGGCGGCCATTAAATGGCATTCTCGTTGCCTAGTACTTAGTGAGTGACCAACAAACACCCGATGAACTGGACTTGGCCTCTTCCTGATGCGTCCAGAAGCAGGAAGACTGTGAAAATGCTCTTCTAGGAATTCCCATGGCATTTGAACAAGAAGCAGTGAATAGGGCATTTAAAAAGAAATTATCCATTAGCACCATAACAAAATGTACAAATATCAACTCTCAGGCAACTAATCCAGGCAAAATTCTGAAGCTTGCCTGGGCAAGAGAATTCGCCTAACAAGAGAAAAGAACAGGCTTACAGGATTGGAAAGAGTGTTCTTATGTTGACATCTAAAAGAAAAGCTCAAATGTCCTGAGAAGTTGCCTTAGAGATATCTCCCAAACAGAGACTGGAAAATTCTATCAACATTCAAACATTAAGAAGAAAGGACACCTTATCCTCTTTATGGATAAAGGCAATCTGAATGGATAGAGTGTATGTCCAATCAATAAAACCCTGATGCGGAAACATGAAAGGACGTTGGAGTTAACTCGTTCGAGGTGTATCCTTTACCTCTAATAATGGCACAAGTTCAGCACATAATGACTAAGTTCAGTACCAATGAGTGGATGATCAACAAGATTCAGAGGACCTCCTTTTGCTGCTTAATCAGCAAGACCAAAGCCCCCCTGAATTCTGACCTAAGTTTCACATAAGACAATCACACTAAGGAGTTCTACTGCCTTCCCCACGGAGAGCTGTAAACTACTGTTTCTTTTGGTGTGCCTTTGACATGGAACCACACTGATTACGAATTCAGTTTGGAAATGAGGAGCTCTCACTAAGCCCACGTAGCTTGCCAAGGCAGTGATGCCCAGACAGTTGATATTCTTACATGTCGTGGCTCTTATCCATATAGATGCAGGAATGACATCTCTCCCTGACCTCTTCACCTGCTGCAGGTCCCACAGAGGAGGCGGGCTCATGATGCTCTTTAAAGCCATGAGTGAAGGCACAAAAACTCACTCTGACCACTGGGTTAGAAACTCTGACAGTTTTTGGCTTTTAAAAAATGGTGTTGTAGTAGAGGATGAAGTTTGTGTCACTGCAATACCATGTAAGTGTGAAACACAAAAGGGGACAGCTTCAGCTCATAAGTACACCTGGGTAAAAAGGTTCACTCTTCCCTTAAAAATAGCATATACAACTTATCCTTATCTAAGGACATTTTGGTAAGAAATTCTTGCTCTTAAAAATTTCAAGAATTTTTTTTTTTGTCTCAGAAACACACTCAGAGAAGGAATAGGTCTCAGTGTGTCCCAACCTTCCACAGGTGGCTAAAACATGGGCAGTTTCTTTGAAATCTCATCACAGTGGTTACTTGGCCATCTTCGTGGGGCAAATCATGAATTCTCCTTTTCCCTATCTACTCCCTGAGCCTAATTTATGGCTGATAGTATCTGTTTCTCACTGGCTACAGAAGTTTTTAACAATTAAGAAAGTAGAAGTTTTCTTTTTTAAAGCCCAACATTTTCAAGCTGAAAATATACTCATTATTTGTCTTTCAAAGGAGAACTGTAGAGAAAGGGCATTTTGACAAAGTAACATGGAGGATGCTCACTGGGTCCTCTTGGTCTATTATTTATTTGCTGAATGAGAAAGTGCCAATTACTTACCCAGTAAATACTTATTTAATACACACTTTGCATCAAGTACTATGCTTAGCCTGGGGCTACAAACATGATCCTTGTTCTCAGAGTCCAATAAAAAGGAAGAAGAAGGAAGCAAGGAAGTAAGGCCCACGCCTGTGCCTGCTGCTCTTCTTATTACACTTGTTACAGTGATGAAAGGCCAGAGACGTTCACATCGGAGCTGTGAACCCAGGCATAAAACCCTGTACATGCACGTAGAGCTCAGAGTCCACAAGACTCCCATACAAACTGGCCTCCTTCAGCACGCTCTGGGAAAGCTCTGTTACAAAAAAGCTTCATGGAGGCATGCCTTAGCCCAATTAAAAACAATCAGCACGTTAGCTAAATTTCTTCCTGGTTAGTTTTATACATGTAGGTTAAGTTGTAATGTTTTAAAGACTTTTTTAAAATTTTCATAGCTGTAAGCAAAGCAGGATATTCTACATTTGACTGGACTTGTGACATGACCGACTGTGAACTATTCCAGTAGTCTATGTGGCACTAGAAGGAGAGATTGGAACCACTACAGGATGTCACTGACTGAGAAGTACACCCAGGTTTCAGCCACATTAAAATTCAGACATTAAAATTGTGTTTCATGGAGGTGACCGACTCTGACTACCCTGACTTCTACAGAGTCACGGACATGCTTGCAAAACCCCCCTCCCAGAAAAGTGTTAGTAGCTTTCCAAAACACAGCCTTGGGTCTCCCTTCATCAGAGAAGCTGCATGATGGCCCAGGAAGAGAACTCCTTTTTCTGTTTTTTAGACCTCACCCTGTGCACCTGTAGCAGGCACTTAAAGAACCATTTCCTGATGTAATAGATGTGCAAGAAGACGTTTGTAAGAGGAAGGTAAAAATTACCACTGAACTGAGAAGTCTAAGCTTTGCTGAGAAACAGTGGACAAACAGGGAAAGGGATCCGCCCTTGCTACAGAGGAGTACCATCGGTTTCCTGTTCCCTCCCTGCTGCTCAGGACTCTGCTTTGAACCTCTTGATCAAGTTTAGTACAATACTGTTGGAGTTTCCTATCCAAAGACCTTATTCCCACTCACAGTAAACACTGTCTTGGGACACCATCCATTAATTCCAAGTGATGATCTATATATACATGACACTGTTGAGAGGAGGGAGATGACTCATTTCTAGAATCATCTGGCATCTCAATGTACAGTATCACTTCTGCTTACATAGGATTCTGACAAGAGGAGACAAAAACATTTGGCAGTTGGAGTCTGTGTGGCTTGGCACTTCAGTTTTCTGTGGAAGTCCACTAGGGTATGTGCTTCAACTGGCAAAAGGAGTTTGATTAAAAAAAAAAAAAAGAACCAAAGTAGACTCAGTCCTCAAGTGGGGTCCCCGCCGAACATAGGACTGACACAGAATGTAAGCCACTGTGATTTCTTTTCCTTGTGTTCTTTTCTTCCTGTATGAGTATGTATACTCATTATGAGCCATGAAGAAATGTGTTGAGTTCCCTAAGAGATATGATAATGGGTCAGACAACTCTGGCTTCAGAAGCAAATTTATGTATTAATAAAGATACATTTTATTCAGATGAGCTACAAGATGGAGAGAATGAAAGAAAGTTCTACTAAAGAAACAAAACCAAGATGGGACCTATAGACGGGACACATAAAGTTCGGGGCCAGGGGAGGTGTCATACAGGGGAACCAGGGAAGGTTTTGACCTGGCTTTTGAGAAGGAACCAGCAGACATGGATAGTGGTACCCTCAGGGCTTCCTTTCGCACAGTCTCCTGATCATTAAGGAGCAGGATGCTATTGCTAGAGCCTACTTTTGAGGTGTTACAACACTGGGGATACCAATGATTGCCTTGGTCTGGCAACTATGGGTGTCCTAAGTCATGTTATCTGAAGAAAATACTATAGGATTTCACGCTGATAAAGGGTGCTGTTTACATCTTAAGTCTGATGTAGTAAAACAGAACATATGAGACTCACATCTGGTCCCTAGGCCACCTAACTGAAGGCAACAGCAAAACACTGCCTTTCAAAACTCCAAGGGTGCCAGCTCCTGCTTACCGTGGACATGGATACCATTTGACTGAAAAGCAGAGTTGGTTTCTGGCTGGTAGGGCTTCAGGAGTGCGCCAGGAGGCTGCTGGGTGTGGGGAGCCTGTGCTCTCTGAAGCAGTGACGGAGGAGCTGGAACTCTTCCCGGGCTGATGTGGTGAGGAGACGGAGTCGGAGGTGCAAACCTGGGAAAACGACCACAACAGGCAGCATGACCAACTCTTCAAAGCCTTCTAAGTCCCTGCTCTGGCCCTACACAAGTATGACAATATGCTTTTTCAAAAACCCTTCATAACCCTCCTCTCTCCCGTCCAACCACTGAGTGCTTCTCTGACACATGGAGGGAAGAAAAGACACCAACAAAGAAAACCTAGGTCACAGTTTGGGTTTGTCAAACTTCTTAAACTGTGTTTCAAATCCTCTGGGTTTTGTGAAATTCAAAGCACATCTTCTGCCAGGCCCTTTTCTTGCTAATTTTAAAACCCGTTCACATTTTAGGGGAAATTCGATTCATATGTTTCTGAGTCATTTACACTTAGCTCATAAACATTTTGTTTTGTAAGGCATATCTGAGGTCCAAGAAGTGTTTCGGGTCCTTATTACGACCCCCCTCTAACCAGAGTCTCCTTAAACAATACATTCTCTCTTGCCAAGAGTAAAATAACTTAAACCTCAAAGGTCAAATGTGCCTTGAAACGCAGAACCTGAGAGGTCGGATTGGGTTCTGTGCTGGGTAAAGAGCATTCCTGATGGTGTAGAGGGAATTCACTGTGGCATTTTTGTAGTAACTTGTAACAATCCCAAGACTGTTGGGTCTTTTGGTTTTGTTGAATGCAATGCCTTGCATACACTAGGCAAGCACTCCACCATTGAGCGCTCTCCTCAGCCGCAGCCTCAGTATACTGGTTTCTGAAAGGAGATAGACTGGTATTTAAACAAGGAGAAATCACCAAGGAACCTTGGACAACTGTATATTTATCTTCTCATTGTGGGGGAAGACTGGCAGGTTCTGAGTCACGAGATTTAGAACGGCATTTACTGTCTAACAATGGCGAAGGACGGTAGACTTGAGAGAACAGCCTTGCAGTTGAGGATGTCCATACAGAAATTAACAGGATGCTTCATTTGTTGGTTCAGCATGGGACAGTGATGCTCATGGTAGAGAGAGAAGCAAGGGTCTTTCAATGCCATGAGAATAAGCAGCAAAATAATTCTGGATAAAAGCATACTAGCAATGAAGTATGCAACCTCTCCAAAGTTTACCAACATGAAAACACTTAGTTAGTTCCTGTTTATACTGCGTAGAAGAAAAGCTTCATTTTGAACTGGCAAATACAGGTCATCATTGGTGACATCACTTATTTTATAGGAACAATTGACTCCACAAGACTGGGCTCTTGTGTAAGGACCTAGCTGAGAAAAGGGGACAGCCCATTAGATACATTTACAAAGTTAATTCAGAAGGTCCTGAAGCAATCTGTCTAATAAAGTAGAGCTTCAACATTTATGTTAAGGGAGTAAGAGAGTATGGGAGAAAATCAAGTTCACTTTGCATTTTACTTGTGAAGTATAGTGAGACTATCTAAGAAGGTTACACAGGAACTAAGAAGAAGATAGGGGACTCAAAGCAAAGAGATCAGAGTATCTCAGCAAACCAGATGTTATCAGATGACTATCAACTGGTCACTTAGGTTTTTATTCTATGGAAAGAGAGCAGCTGTGTGTCCCATGCTGGTACATCTGCACTCTTCTAAGCACATCCTCTTAATTGGGATTATCCTGAAAGGCAATGCTGAGTGGCCCTGAGAGAAAACACAGCAAACAAATCCTGGCACTTCCCTGAGAACATCTAGTAAAACACATAAGCCAGGATTCCCCATATGGAGGCTATTTTCTGGGGAACATGTTCTTACTGTGTCTCCAAAGTAGCTCTGAGCTTGTAGGAGAGGAATGAGAAATTATGAAATCACAGAGTTTGGAGAGATGGAGTCCACACTAGCACCCAATCCTAGACGGCCCTGTTCTTATGGGCCTCTGGGTTGGAGGGAGAAGGGATTTGAATAGCAAGGTAAACTATGTCATTATCCCACATTCACACTGATATTTCAATATTGGGAACAAACATAATTAAGACCCTTTGGCTCTCTTGTTTTACTTCTTTAGTTGAGAATGAAAGACACACTAGCGAGCCCTCAGGTCTTTCCTTCTGGTACTTCTGCTATCTTCTGTCAATCTATGAACAAAGGTGCAAAGCCATGAGATGGGGGGCAGACAAGTTGGGACTCTCTGGGGATACCAGTACAATCTGAGGACACAACCTACCCTAAACAACATGATACATCTGGCTGACACTAGACAGATTAGTAAGGAGTAGAGATGGTGATGACGAAGAACACAGAGTCCAAGGTTCTTTCCTCAGAGAGAAACCCTAATGCTTCTATCATTTGCACTGATGTGGTCAATGTTAATTATGATCACTAACTAGGAAATGAAGACTACATAGATACAAGAGTATAACTTATTAAATGTTTTGTCATCTATACCATAGATTATATTAGATTAGATATGGATTCGGTATGTTCATGTTGTTATATAATTATGTGCTCACTCCAAATTATTCTTACCTATTCATACAAGTTCCTGGCCATATTTTCTTGGCTATTACATATTATTCAATATATTGATAAGGATAAACAAAGGGGAAAACGTGGTAGGCATATACCAAGGTTTTAACACTCTTTCATAACCCAGGATAGTGAACTATTATGCCTTCCATGTAACTTACACACGCTCTATCCTAAGTCAGAGGCGTCCTCTGCACTGTTCATGTAGATGAGATTACACAGCACAGGGGTAATGCATTTGAAGAAAAAGATCTCATCTCACATAAAATGTTAATCAAAATTTAAACACAAATTCTTCTAAGTGAAATAAACCTTCACAAAGTAGTCTTTAATTTAAAAGGAGTATCTACAGAAGTTTTAACCTTTGCATCTACAGAGAAAGTACTTTTGATGATAAGTGATCATATTTGTCTGATAACTGCCAGGAATATGGAAACAAGTAAGAATCAATAGCTTAAAATTCCAGCACCAGAGATCTCTTCATAAATAGGAATGATTTTGAGCATAGATTCAATTTATACAAATTTACAAGAATCAGTTAAAAAATATTTTGTTCTTTTCTTTTTTTTTTAAGGTTTTTCGAGACAGGGTTTCTCTGTGTAGTCCTGGCTGTCCTGGAACTCACTCTGTAGACCAGGCTGGCCTCGAACTCAGAAATCCGCCTGCCTCTGCCTCCCAAGTGCTGGGATTAAAGGTGCGCGCCACCACCACCCGGCTACATTTTGCTATTTTCATTCATGAATTTTTAGAATCAGTTTTACTTCTGCCCAAAACTGCCATGTAGTATTTTAACAAAAAGCTATAGCCTCTCTGTCAATTTGTATGTATTCAGTTTGCTGCTAACCCACTCACGGTAGAGAACAGCCAATTAAGATTAGAGGTTACGGCAGAAGAGGAGTATGAAGGTGAAGACAGAGCCCTACAGTTACAGGTGAGGGCCCCAGACACAGCTGAAAACAACAGACACCAGGAAGACAGATGTTACAAGTTTGACTCAAGAATCCACAGAACCTAAGAAACCCAGCAGTTTTAGACAACTTCATGCAAGAGAAAAAAACAGAGGGTCAGAAAGGATCCCAAAGCTTTTGGATTGCCACCACCTTTCTGGCTGGAGGGAGGGGGGCTCCTTAACTTCTCCTGTAAATGTTTGCAGCTATTTCCCAACCCTGGGCATTGGCTTGTATCAAAATGAGTATATTTTGAGTGTTTTGCTCAGAAAAGGCTGAGGGATGTATTTATGTGATGACTGATGACGATAACAATGATGATGATGGTGACGATGACATTGATGTAGGAAATGTTTCTTGAAGTTAAAATAAAAAAAACCTCAATGCCAATGACAGGTTATAGCTATTTGTAATTTTTCTTCTACAGAGTATTGTATCCTGCAAATATGTCAGGTCAAGGCAGAATCATGCTAATTCTGAGTTACACTGTATCCAAGAGACACAAGAAAGATCGTCTGTACACCAACTGAGAATTCAGTGGTCATTTCAGAGATTTTCTTCCAGTTAGACTGCTAGTGTCTGCTTATGCTTTTCATAGGACCTCAAAAGAGATGACTACTGTGTAAATAGGCACATAACAGACTAGAAGGAAAAAAAATCCCTGCTTACCAGAAACAGAACACACAAAAGTAAATCAGAACTGAGTCAACCATTTCCACTCCCTTGGTGGGGAGTTGGTATGACCTTATAATGAGCAATGGTTTGCTAAGAAGAGGAGGCACGGGGGAGGCTTTGAACCCTCTTAAATGATCCTTTTTGCAGAAGGGGGGAACTTCAAAGGTTCTTGTAAGTGCTCATTCATGCACACCTCAGGAAACAGATGATTGCTTCGCCAAGCTCCTTTCTTTCAGCCCCTCCCTTTCCTGCCTTCTCTGCCCTACTTTCACTAATGGCTCCCCACATGGCAGTGGACAGGCCAGCACAAGGAATTCACCCTTCCTCAAGAGGTAGCACTGAATCCTAGATGATAACAAGACAGTAACTCCCAAGTGGGACAAGCACAGTTAAAGTTCACGTACAGAAACTTGGTTAGGGATGGAGAAACAGGGGATTCAGAAAACAGATGGGTCAGGAGCACACAGGCTTGGGCTCTGGTGCGCTCTCTTACTGGATAAGGAAATCTGAATAAATCCTTTAACTCAGCCTCCATAAAAATGTAAGACAAAGAGGGTCCAATTTCCCTCAGAATTGCAAAGTATGAGATGATCCCATTTTTTTTTCATTCAGGAAATATAAACTAGGCACTGGCCAAGTGAGTGTAAGCATGGAGGGGCAACTGAAAACCCACTTCTCTGCATTTCTGGGACTTACAGAAAGAAAACAATCAAGTATAGCTAAGACTAGGTAAAAAAACAGTACTGCACTAGCAAGTGAGTATAACAGGAAAAACCAACAGTAGATATGGTATGTTGTGTAGAAGTTTACATCTGGAAATTAGGGATATTAAAGAACTTAAGACTAAGAATGTCTGATAACTTCCAGGTAATCAGTGTATGCTTAGGGAATGAAGGACTGATCTAAATAGAGTGGCCATGTAGGGTAGCAGTTCTCAAC